TGGGTGGGGGGACATTTGACTTTTTTTTGGGGGGGGGGCATTTCAGGAGTCATGCAATGATATGGGTAATTAAAAGAATCGAAAAAAGAACACGGGATTTCACGAGGATGCACAATAGTGGTTTAGTGGTAATATTAAAGTGCCCATAAAATCAGGACCCTGTTACTCTTGCAGAGCGCACCCCCATGCAGAACCAAGCTTAAACGCAAGGAACCCATTTGAGGAAGGTTTTAGGCCAAGTGTGTGTGCTAAATTGTGAAATGTAGTTGTTAATCCACAAGGGTGTGTCTTGATGTTTTGGAGTATGATGGAATAATTTCCTGGAAGCGCAGCGAAATATCTGAAATAACGTGCGAGTGCCAAAAAGTGATATGAATCTTCATAGGGCCCATCCACAAGAGACTGCATTGATATTTTAGTGTATGGTCATATAAATTTCCTGGAAATCCAGTTATATCTCCGGAGTAAATCAAGAAATCTAACGAGTTCTAATGTCCACTTGTGCCTGGGAATGAATAATATCTCATTTTAGATACTGCTGATTTCGTGGGCTTATCCCAGGAAAATACATTAAATTTAGCTTAGCTATTCCCCTGGAGAGTCCGATAGCCTCATATATATAATAACGTCCAGTTTCTAATTCTCTGATGAATTGAAACGAGTAATTTGTAAGTAGAAGATGGTGCGCTGGTCAGCTTGAATGCATATACGCTGTGCTGTGATCATTGCGATAAGGATCCAATCCATCTACAGTGCAAATGCTGTCGTTTTCCCGAAAACTGAAAACTATAATAATGTGTATCAGATGAACTATAACTTGTCCCAATTTGTTGTTTTGAAATCGGGATATTTTGAAATAATTTTATAAAAGAAATGCAATATAAGAGGTGCGTTTATATCGATTGAGAACAGATTGATCATCAACTGGATGTTAGCACTAATGGAGCTACAGAGATCAAGAACCTAAAGAAAGTCCCTTGGGTTTAATTTTGGGGCAGGCATCATTGCTGTTCTCAAATTTAGTAGATCTATTGTTTTCCGTACTATCATCAATACATAAACATCGGGGATCGTGCTACGAATCCTTGTATGATAACTGTTAGTTATCCGTAGAGCTGGTTACCTTGAGATTTTGTTGCAGTGAATTGTCACTAAGATCACTTTCCGTAGGGGCGTAAGTGACACGGAGATTGCTGGGAAAAGGTCCACTCTGGGTATATTTGATCTACATAAACTAAGGTTTTATGACAAAAGGTCCACATTTTCAGACCCCACCCCCTTTTGCAATAGCTAGCTACGGACCTGCATAGTTCAATGGGTGAACTGGGTACTGAAGAAACTCCCACAAAACATAAGGCACTGTGCCACAGGAGAGGTAACCGTTATTTTGTGGGCAGATCTAATCGTACAGATAACAGTGACAGAGCTGTCAGATAGGCCTACTTGTCCACTCCCCGTGAAAATATTGCAATAAAGGTAGGCCCCCTAAATGCCCATCAACAAGTACCAAGGTTCCTTATCGATTTTATTAAATTCAGAAATAGATCACCATTTTGAATGACACGGGTAATCAGGTTTCGTTTATTGGCTAGCGGAAAATACCCATTCACTAGACATAACATGGGAACCCAACTCCAGTAAAACTCCACTTAACTACAACAACGACAAAAAAGAAAGAAAGAAAGAAAAAGAAAAAACCAAAAATTTGGGGTCCAATACGCGTATATCACATCCTACTTATCGCTGAGTGGGGCACAATTAACTATAATATTATGTGACATTATCCCCAGGTGTAAGATTTCTCGGGTCAGCATCATAATAGAGACCACTTAATGGTGCATTGCCATGCTGAGAGTATAGTAAATGATTATCTAATTCCCACCTTTAATCGTATTTGATTAAGCCGCGATCCTATATACTCACACCAAGATAAAGATAACTTAGTCCCCATTCCCAGAGATTAGATAGATCCAACTAGATCGACCTAACTCCCTGGGGGTTCACGCTAAATGGCTGTCAGCCGAGCGGGCACGAAAGTTAATTACCCACTTACAGCTTGAAGTAGGCGGGATGGACATTTAAGCCGGATTATCTGACAGTAATCTAATGGGACTCCCCACGGGGATAGATCGATCTAAAATCTATGGGAATGCGCCCTTAGTTCAGGTCGTGTGCGCACACTTGGTGGTTGAGTGATAAAAACTGTAAACGAACGCCACATTGTTATATCACATTGGCAAACTAAAATCGCTGATTGTTCGAATCCTCTGTTCAAACGTGTGTTTCGTCTATTGATTTGAGATATGTTATGTAATTTTTAGTAAGATATAACGCATATTTGTTTGTTTTTATGTGTGCACCTTAGAGTGCGTGCATGAATGCTGATGTGTGTGAGTGCGTGTGTGTGAGTGCGTGTGTGTGAGTGTGTGTGTGTGTTAACGCGTGTGAATGAGAAATGATTTAACGTCTACATTTTTTCTCACCTATTTTCCTGCGCAATTTTTGCTTCTTTTTTACGTGTAGTTTGTTCTTCCAGGTCCCATATACCGGCGCTGGCATGAACACTGCTCGTAGCTTTGGGCCTGCTGTAATATTTGGAGGTCCTGCTTGGGATAACCATTGGGTGAGTACTTCTTACTTATAACTTTTTTACTTGTTATTACGTCTATGAGTCGTCTATCTATCTGTCTGTCTGTCTGTCTGTCTGTCTGTCTGTTCATTTACCTTTTCATCCATACATGTATATTATTCCTTTTAATCATTCATCCATCATTCACTCAGACTCGCTAGTTTGTTATTCCATCATTAACATTTTAAGTATAGGCTTATTTTTACTGCCATCCATCTATACTGTATAGTTTCTGCGGGCGCGTGCCGTGTATGCGTGGTGTGTGTGTGTGTGTGTGTGTGTGTGTGTGTGTGTGTGTGAGAGAGAGAGAGAGAGATAACACAACACATGTTGTTCATATTTCCATATTCATAATTCCAGGTCTACTGGGTTGGGCAGTTGTTGGGCGGTGTGGTCGCTGCTCTCCTCTACGACCTGCTGTTCGCCGTCAACTCCTCCGTGGACAAGCTCAAATCATGCGGCACCTCCCGCCATTACAACGAGAGCGACACGTACGCCGTCAGCGACGAGAACCACTCCGAGATGAAAGATATGCCACCTGCTAAAGTCTAACAAAATTACGACATGATGGGACATCAATTTCTTACTGCGAGGAAGCGACAGAACGTGTTGTGTATTGAGTTTGCATTGCGATAAATCTGCTGAGTTGGAACTGCGACAAATCTGCTTTGGGAAACGAAGAATTAGCTGTAATTTGATACCGTTCGTTAACTATATTTCAAGTTGGCACGAATCGAAAGGACATCGGTTAGATGATCCTTTTTTCTCCTTGAAAAAGTCAGTTATAATTTAGCTCAAGAAGAAAACCCTTCTCACAGCTCCTCTCCTATAACATCCAAAGTTTGGATTTTTATTCGAACTAATCTTGAAAGACTGGGTATAAAGAGAAACTGGTGAAAGTTGCGATAACTAGAATTGTCACAGTCTTGATTCGATCTCTTCGTAGCCAATTTGAGGCATAGAAAATGAACGGCACCTAAATAAATATATTCTGGCCTTTTTAACCATTAGAGTAAAACACGAACAGAAAGAGAGAAGGTAGAATATATATTATTTGGAAAAAAAATCGTAAGATTTACCTGTACTGACTTCGTATTGAAGTTTTTTGAGAAGTTTTTTTGTATGATTTAGCAAAGGTGTTGCTTTCGATAATCAAACCGGGCTTTGCTCACTATCTAAGGCAATCGTAACTGTTTTCTGCAAACCCAAGCCCGATGGTGCTGGACTCTGTAATTCCATTGACGATTTTTTTTTTTTTTTTGTTTCAGCTTCTGAATCACGAAACCAAATTCATTAAGCAGCTGTATGTTTATTTTCGTAAGCTGCCTGTAGTAACTAAAGTAAAAAGGCCACCAAGAACTTTTAAGTTCACCATCCCTAACAATCTCCAAATCTGTGTCTCGTTTTCGGCTATCTGACAGACTTGGTTTGAACTGGTACAACACTATAACAAATGCATACAATCTTTCAGGCTGGGATTTCAGTAAATTCATAGTGTATTTTTTTAAAATCACATTTGCCTGTCTCGAATTAATAGTGAATTTTACCTGTTACTGTCGGAATTGTACTATTATATACTTATTTTATGAAAAACGTTAGTTTTAGTTTTCAGAACGCCAATACGTACACAACACGAACTTCTGTGCCAAATACACCATTCAATCATCTTGGCTATACAGCAACTTTCACATTAAAGCGAGTTCATTAAAAGTAATCATTGGCGTGAGCTGTCATTACCCAGAGCTTCAAACGGTTCATTTAAAACTTACATACCAAGTCACAATATATGCAAATTTGCAGTCTCTCTATTGGTGCGAGGAAGAGGGCCACACGCAATGCTGTGTTACTCAGGGTGCTGAGAACTGCTCTTGGTAACTGGCAGAGCTACCATCGAGACGAGATCCATTGTTAGTCATTTTATTTCAATGACGTCAATTTTTAAAATTACTTTTAATATTTTTTTTAAATCGGTAAAATAACGCATGGGCACAAAAGGAAAGTGAGAAATGGAAAAGAGGGGGTATTTATCCATTTTGAACAATTACAGAAAACGGACCAGAACACAGGGCACCCCGAGTTCCACAGCAATATCGGTGACTTTCCTCTAATCAGAAGTCCCTCCACGTCACAACGTCAACGTATAGTTATGAGGGCGCGTAATGTATAGTTATGAGGGTATTTTCAATACACTCAAACATTCAAGGTGTGAGTTACTTGCAAGAAAAACAACAACAAACTTGGTGTTAAACTTATAGTATGTTAACTAAAGCATTTATTTCATAATTTGTACATTGTTATTGTACACAATATTTTAATATATGTATAATATATATATACACAATTTAGCTTAAAAAACATGTATGAGTAAACAGCTAGTAATTACATATGCTTACATGTGTATGGGACCATAGGTTCCACATATTGAAACTGGGCTTTGTTCTTAGCTTAATTATACTCAAATATACAGGCATGCATTGTAGAACTAGTTTTGTATCATCATAATAATTATCACCAGGGCTATATTACATATAAAATGAAAAAAAAAATTGTAATAAATATTGGAGGTCTACAAGTTATCCAAGTATTGTGTGAATATATTGGCACCAAGTAGTAAGCTATGATGGCAATTTGGCACCCTGTTTGAGAACAGGGCAAAAAAAGGCCTTTTTGTTATGACATTACTCCTCTACAACAAGAAGTGTATGCCAACACCATCCATCTTGTCATAAACCATAGCATATGACATCACTACCCTGCGGTGTCCTCTCTGTTGATATTATCTAGTTTTAATGCACATGAAGTAACATGTGACATTTTGACAATTACGTATAACTACGAGTCACAGCACCGTATGTATGTTTATCAAAGTTACAGTCAGAAGAATTAAGATTCTAGGCGGAAAAAAAGAGAGAATGCACACATTTAGAAACCATGGGCAAAGTAATAAAGCATATACATGTACAGTAGCAAGTGCCTGAGTAGAACTTTGCTAATGCTCGTCTGTATCATACCCTGTAATGGAGATGTTCATTTAAAACTATTCATTTCATCATCTACATCTGACTGTTTAAACATTGATATCATTTGTAAGCATCCTAAAAACAAGTATTTTTTGTAGCTAAAGTAACACCTTATTGCCCCATATAATATATGTAACAATATATTTCCAAGTGCAAGAGAACTTATAGTTCTGCCCTACCACCTTTGAACACTACAAACAATTTCCAATTATCCTGCATGCTGCCAAGCTGTCGAAAATTACGGCTTAATAGTTGTATTTGTAACAGTTTGGGACTTTGAGGTTCTTTTAAGCAAAATAGAGGCTTTCAGTACAGAGAACCACTTTATTCCATTCTACTGTTAATGTGCTAACCCTTTGCCTGCAAGCACATGGTACTTTCATTGGCAGAAAATCGGACAGCCAGAAAACAGATTGTCCTTTAAGAATAACCATGTGTTCAGAAACCACCAGGTCTGGTACTGCCAGACAATTACCTTGCAATGGCTTTAACACTACCCAATGTGAAGTTGGTGTGAAAAATATAAAATGCAATGCCTTGTAGGGAGAACATTTTTGTATAACAAAATGAAGCAGTTTTTTTGGCTGTTAGTCATTCAAGGACTACTCTAGCAACATTTTCGAATTAGCAAATTATAGAAAAAGATCAAAACTTGAGATCATGAGCAGAGGCTTCTAACAAAGAGATTTTATAATAATTATCGTCCCACACAAAATTAAAAATATTTATTATCCAGAAAACAATCAAGTGATGAAGTCAAGCCATAAGGGCATCAAAGATTTTGTCCAATTTTTTTTTCACAAGTAGTCTGTACCCTTCACTCGTCCTCTTTGCCCTTAAAAGTAACTGAGAAAGTATAAACAAGCACTGGTTGAACTTAATATTTGGAAGAAAACTCCCCTTCCAGCATGAGATGATTTTCAAAATTAACCTTCACACCATTTGTTGATATCTCCAAATAAGACTTGCTTATGCCAGTTGATCACATTAATTTATGAGAAAAAAAAATATCAAAAAAGAGATGAAAAGGTTTTCCAAAATTGTTGCCAGTTATCACACAAAAACCTTCCCCTGGCATATGAAAGTCATTCATTGCCAATTAAATGTTGCCCCACACTGCCACAACTTGTTTTCAACCAGTAGTTCGACAGCACATTTCAAAATTCCTTCACACAATAATAAGTATATGTCATGGTACTAATACAGAAAAACAAATCCGATATCGAGATATTTCATAACATTCATTTTTACATGCGGTAACAACAAACTGTGGGAACTTCTCAAGATAAAATATTCAGATGCAGATTTCTAGCAATAAATATTAAATTGATAGAAAGAGGGGGGGGGAAGAATAGTCACTTTGCAACTTTTTGAATTCTTGCATAAAAAAGGTTATCCACAAAAGTATGTCTTAATAAAATCCTACACCATTTAACAAATATAAATATGTATACCCTAAAGAGGAACTATATATCGTTTGCTTCTTGATGGACACCCACCACTTGCAAAGAAAAAAGCAGGGTTACCAAACACTGGGAAATATAAAAACAGGCACACTGCAGTAAGTAAGACCTATGTCAGAGAAGTGGATTTTACACTGAATATTCTAGGTATTCTGAGATTAAAGGTGTTTAAATTCTGACTTGTCCATATCATTGCACCATACTCAACAGTACTGCAAAAATATTTTTCATCTAATCTTATCACACAAATACTACAAAGGGTAGGACACTGTATCACTTGGGGAGAGAGGAAGTTTGAAATGCTAGTGCAAGTTTGCGGTAAGGACACAGAGGGCAATAACCACAGCTCCATGCATCAAACTAATATAACAAAAGTCCTAATGTAAACCAGTTGCCGAGGGTTCAGTTTCTATGACGACACCATGGTGACACTATGGTTTGCCTGCTGGGGGCCTGCCAAACCACTGCCAACGTAAACACATTATGTTCACTATACTACTTGGTGTGTGAACAATTTGGAAATTATTTCCATTACTAACATTTCCTTTCACCCCAGTAAAGATCATTTACTTCTTGTATTTGCACAATCTGAAGAACTACTGAAATCTAAGTGCCCTGTAGTAAGCAGTGAGTTTAAATTTAGAAGTCTTTAAAAACGTTTGGCTTATCATGTTTTAGTTAAGGTGATGCAAACGTAGTAAAGGATTAGAATCCAAATTAAAAATTAATTTTCTTTCACAGAACACTGATATTTTATACCATTTTAACCTGCTTTCCAACAAGGCAGTCTATTGTACCCTGTGTCTCTAGCTTAGAAAAGAAATTAGAGCTAATAATCTAGATCCAGAATAGCTATCTCTTTGTAACCCGAGCCATTAAAGGAAACTGTTCTCATACAACAAGCCACCTGACATGAATTGTTCTACATCATGCTATTATATTAAATTTATAAGTAGTGCATCCAGAATAACTGAGACTTGCTGGACATAGAAATAAATTTCATTTCAATAGATTGCACCCTGCATCTCAAAACCAGTGAGCTGAGACTCTTATCATCAGGAGAGATACATGCATAGATGGGTAATTCAATAGACTACTACCCTAATATTAAAAAAAAAGGAAACATCAAGAGTTTGCTCTATTCTTGGGATAATGAGAAATACAGTATAATTTAGCACAATACTTCAAGATAATTTTATTGTCACTCTCACTGTGGAACTCAAAATATTCACCAACTAATAACTCAACATTGGCAACATAGTCAGAAACCCCAAATTTCAATAGTGATATTGAAAAAAAAAACAGATACATGGTCTTCTTATGGATTTAATATTGTTGCAGAAGACTTTTTTCTAGCCTACTAACGAACTTTTACAAAAGAGGAGAAACCTCTTTGCTGTTGTAATTTTTCTTCACTTCAACAAAATTGTTAAGTTTGGTTACAGTATTTCTGGGAATTACAGGCTATAAATCAGGGTAGCGCTTCAGTCACCTGTTGTTCTCATTTTATTTCTTACAAATAATAGAGTCACTTCTTCTACTTGCAGTGTATGGCTTTTAGTCAGGGTAGCTCCATAGCCAGATTTATTTTTGCCCTGTAGTTCTGCTTTGCTACGATATTAAAAAAGAAGAAAAAAAAAAAAAAAAAAAAAAAAAAA